TTAGTGCTCCTGTGTGAGGAGTGATATCGTGAGATAGTACCGACTTGTATTTCTCAACAACACACTAACGTAGTGCTCTGCTAATTAACCTAAACCAAGATACTAGCAACTACTTCTGAATCTCCACATTACTGAAAAATCCTCGACTTATTTGTTACTCAAAACATTTCTCTCCTCTTTTTTCATCCTGATTTCACAGTAAACTAGAGATCGCTGGCTTGCTCTAGATAGTGCTGGATATACACATGGAAAAATGTATCGCAACACCTATGATTTCAGAAACTATACACATGAAAGAAAGTATCGTAACACCAGTCATTTCATCATCCATATAGCCACATCATAGTCTTAGTTATTTATGTTCGTATGGTTTTTTTATCCTTCAAGCGCACCAAACATTGATTTTAGATGTGCTACGATTAAAAGTGAGCATGTGCTACAATTAAAGGTGAGCATTACGTGCAATACGTCAATACGTTTGCGTGTCATTAACCAAATATCAAGTTTCAAGATTTTTTTCTCAGAGCTCTATACTGACTGACTGAGTTTGGTTTTACGCCGCTTTTAGCAACATTCCAGCAACATCACGGCGGGGGACACCAGAAATGGGCTTCACACATTGTACCCATGTGGGGATTCGAACCCGGGTCTTCGGCGTGACGAGCGAACGCTTTAACCACTAGGCTACCCCACCGCCCCTCAAAGCTCTATAACTTGGATATGTAGAACAAACATGCTCATGCGGTTTATACAGAAATCCAACAGTTGATGGAATGGTGGATAACCAGGGTGAATATTATTTTACGCCGTTTTTAGCAATATGTTGCAATAACCCGTTAGCGGCACTAACTGTCTTCATGAATTTGGGGAATGGAACCCGGGCTCCGCCATGACAAGCTAACGCTGAATCACTTGGCTACCGTGTTACCTCTGGTGAATAGGAACAACCTCAGTGACACACAGAGGGATATACACATACACACATACACGCGCGCGCACGCACACACATACACTGGCACCCTCTACACACATCAATTGCATTTACTGTGGATTATGTCTGGATAGACTAGCACAAGTCTCTAAGGTAATAATTAATAGTATAAATGAAAATTTCTAAAACAATATAAATAACAGACTGTCGTCTTCTTATCTAGACTTTCCTCTTTAAATGATAAAATTACTATACATCCATGGACCTAGCATTCAGTAGAGTCTTGGAGCAAGGCTAATGTCTGGACAACACATGTTCGGGAAAATACATTCATCTTGTATCCATGCGAGACAAGCCGGCAATATAACCCTCCGTCTCACACGCGCTTTCATCTGACAGCAGCAATTAATCTCACAAAACTGCATCTGCGGGAATGCGTTGTGTTTTACGCCGCTTTAAGCACTAGTTTACCAATATAACAGCAGGGGTGATAAAGTGTGGTCTTCACATGCTGTTTAACGAGGGGATGAAGCCTGGGTCTTCCAGCGTAATGACCGGAGGATTTATACACAAGTATATGCTGCCTCATTTGCAAATGAAAAAGCCCTATATAAATGTACATTCCACTGATGTATATCATTTGCATTCAACCACAGTGACATCAACTCCGTATAATGTAAGGTTCGTCGAGGTACGTTCATTGGTTCGTTTATTGTTTAACGCCGAAATCAGCAGTGTTTCAGCTATATGGCGGCGGTCTGCCTGGACTCAAGCCTGGACCAGACAATCCAGTGATCAACATCATGAGCATCGATGTACGCAACTTGGATACGATGACATGTGTCATCCAAATCAGCGAGCCTGACCACCCAATCCCGTTATAGTCGCCTCTTACAAGCACGCGTTGCTTAAAACCAATTCTAACCCGTATTACGGGTCTTGTCGAGGTAGGAATATTGCAAAGGTAAAGTTATCGGGTACCCAGAGACTGTTAACGTTCCCTCTCCCTGTATTCTCACCAGGGAGTTGAGAATGTAAACAGAACGCACATCGACCCACTGAGTGGGGTAAAGCCGTGTCACTTCAAGCATTGTACTGGACGCGGGTTACCAAGATTTCAAAGAGCGCGTCATACAACTCTTACTCAGAAGTTGTTCGATTAAGGTTACAACATTCAAGGCATCAGTAAAACTTTCAAAGAGTTTCATGGTAGACATGGAGGACATTTAAAAAATTGATGCATCAGTGATAATTTTGTGGAGGATGTTTAACAATTTGACGCATCAGATATGTCCGATGCAATTCCCTATTTTGCGTTCCTGCTATTTTAAGGTGAACAGTTGACTAGACTAGACACTTTATTTTGTTATGTAGACAAATAACACGGGAGACAAATAAGACCTCTACCATACGTTCCCGAATTATTTCAGGTGAACAAATAACTAGACTTTGCATATGTTTATGATGATTGCCACAAGCGGGGCAGGATACGCTCACCGTTTCGTGAACACCTGGTATCATCACTTTCTCATTCATAAACACATGCTCTGTCATCGTATCTCATGTTGTCAATCACTGGATTCTAATGATGTTATAAGAATTGTACAACCGACACAGCTTTGAGCAGAGATTATATATATTACTTGTGGACGTGGAAAAGAGATTTGCGTTTATAGTTGTGTAGCAGGGCATGGAGTCATCCCACAGATGACATCCTTACCTTGTCAGCTTGTTGACGGGGTTAACCTCTTTGGTCATGTGGACAAGGCGTCCGACTTCTGATAAGAAGGTCCGTGGTTCGAATCCCAGCACGGGACTCGGAAATTTTATGGCCGCTACAGTTGGTGCATTATATAGACACACACACACATTATACATAATACGAAGGATAATTCGAAATAATTCTTCAGCCCATAACTACATGGAATATGTACAGAATACACAGAATTTATCAGTCGCAAACGACGAAGGTCGACACTCTCGCTCGGGCTGTTCAATCTGACCTGCATTGTTGATAATTTAGTAAAGGTGTGTTTTAAACGGTAAAATAATGACCATATACTACACGATGTAAGTTGGGTATCAATTAGTCGTATTCGTAGCTGCTGTGCAGATGAATGACAACTGTGTTGAAGCAGCTGTGAAGAATGTGCGCTTCCGTATGTGAGAAGAATAGGGTGTTGTAGAATGGGTACAGAATCACTGTAATCACGCATGCAATGTCATATAGCGCAAGTTACAGTTAATGCCGTTTCGAGCAGTCATACGTTTATAGCATGGCGTGTCAGCTTCATGTGAGAGACAATAGTACAAACGCCGTAGAATATTGACGACCGAAGACATACTCACCCCCTGATTGTGGTATTATATATCTATGTGTTCTATGTCGCTTTAGGTAGAGAAGCCGGAAATGAATGAAGTGTTAGACGTTAACCTCATTGTTGAAGGTCTGGAGCATAGGTATTGTGCTGACAAAGCCTACAGTAAGGGGGAGCCTCTGATACAAATGTGGTATCATTCGTGACAAACTCGCCGAATGTCTTCTTGGGTTACGGAAGGGGCGAGTGGTGACGAATGTTGTGGTATGTCTAAGGGAGGCAACTCTGGACAGCGAATTACGCGCCTTAGACAATATTGGGCATCTGTACTCCCAAATGATAGCGAAATCAAAATTTAATGAAATATTGTATTTAATAGTTAAATTAATTACTCTTATGCTATTTTACTATAGTTAATCTGCGATCAGCATGACAGATTAACTATATTATCATGAAAGAATGAGGATTTTCTTTAACTTTATTTGAGTAGTGCACTTTCGTTGGAATATTGTGTTATAGATTATGAATGTTGGAATATTGTGTTATAGATTATGAATGTTGTAATATTTGTTTGAAACTGTTACACGTTTTTGTTTTACTTCATGACGGATTACCCGTTCATGATATTTGTCTTTCAGCAGGAAAAGTGGTTAAATGTCTCATGGTAGCGCCCACGAGCCGTACACTGCATGAGTATTTTCATGGCGCTTCATACACTCTGCTTTTGGTACGTGGGATTTATCTGCTGTCGTATTCAGTAACGACCAAGTTGGCTTCGTGTGTGTGTGTGTGTATGTGCGTATGTATGTATGTGCGTGTGTATGTATGTATGTATGTGTGTATGTATGTGCGTATGTATGTATGTGTGTGTGTGTGTATGTATGTATGTATGTATGTATGTATGTATGTATGTGTATGTATGTATGTATGTATGTATGTGCGTGTGTATGTATGTATGTATGTATGTATGTATGTATGTATGTATGTATGTATGTATGTATGTATGTATGTATGTATGTATGTATGTATGTATGTATGTATGTATGTATGTGTGTAATTCATAAGACAGAAGGTAGCGATCCAAAGTTACTTAGCACATTCACAACACTATGAACGTAATCAACAACATTTCAAGGTAAAATAAGAAAATAAAATTTACAATTTTTGCCTACATGAAATATGCAGGGATTTATATTATATATGTTTCAGATTTATTAACTAACTGCTCTCTTCTCTACTAAAATCTCTACTCTGCTAAGTCAGGGTGATGTATCATTATCTGTTGTTTCAGTTCAGTGCACTTCCTGGGCTATCCTATTACCTAAAAGGGGTGATGAGGAGTTGTTGTTTTAACAATGTGTGGTAGTATTGGGATGCGGAAGTTTTGGGATGTGGAAGTTTTGGGATATAACCTCTCAAACAATTATGTACAAGTTTTAAGTTCACGGTCAACTGTTCATACAGTATATGGCAGTTTCATGAAGTGTTTGACGTGTTTTGCGCTTCTACTACCGTGTTATGAAACGTTCTACGCCGAACACATCAGGAGCGCCCCTAAACCGCCTTTAAATCCCGGCGAAGGATCCAACAATTTCAACAAAATGGACATTTTTTGATTGTATGTTTATATGCCCACTCTAAGTGTCCCCACAAAGGGTAGAGTGACAGGGCGTTACTGGTAGCTTCATTAATTATGATAGCTTATTATTATTATTATCATCATCATTATAACGTCTTCTTTTCTATTCCAGTGTTGTCATTCTGTCCAGTTGGGGAATCACGATGTCCTAACGGAAGATGTATCCCAGAAGTGCGAATACAAAATGGCGTTGATGACTGCCCTGATGGAAAATATGATGAACGTGTGTATAGTTTCTTTGCCATTGATTTCTTTCTTTAATTTCTTTGCCATATCTATTAGTTAAAAAGAATATTAAACATTGTCCTCATAAGGATAAAGGTTCACACAGAAATGTATGATGATTAATTAAATGTGTATTAATTTTACTTCGTTTCTAAATATTTTACAACCTTTTGACCTTTAAGAATGTTTTACGTCTGTAGTTAAACCGATATTTTACGTCACATATATACAAACAATAATTGAATTGTCATTCACATTTCAAACAGGAGGCCCATTCTGTAACCTGGAGACAGAGTTACAGTGTGCGAATGGACGTTGTTTGCCTCGCGACAAGTTCAATAACTCCGTCAATGACTGCGGAGACAACTCTGATGAAGGTATGCATTCGCGTGGTGTCTGTTATGAAAATATCAGAGTAAATTCTAAAGCTGTGTTGATCTAATATATTTTCGATAAATAAAAGTATATCGTTTTTGATAATTCAGTGAATTGAATTCATATTTATTTCGCTCAGGGAAGGTTAGATTTTCATCGTAAACAAATAAAACTGGTTAGATACTTTTCTATTTGCGATAATTACTTTTATTATTCATAAAACAGATTCTTCATCACAGTAATTATATTATTCTATATTACATACATTATGTCCTGAAATGTTTTAATAGGGATCTTTTAAATTCACAACATTATGGAATGAATCTGCGCCACTATAAATAGCAGACTGGCATAAATAAACTCTACCAGTTAGCGTAATAATTACCCATTACTATAAATGTAATAGGATCTCTATACAAAGGCCCTTTGGCAAGTTCAGCTTCTGACAATATATGTATACAACTTTAATGCAACAATAATACGTATGCTCTTTGTTAATCACCCTCTGCATGTACCACTGAATTTTGAAAAAAAATTCTAGTATGTTCACTATTTTATGAACACGTGTATGATATTATTGGAATCGCACACTGGTCTTATTTGTAGCATACATTTCTTACGTTTGTATAAATGTTTCGTGTGACCTTTTTACTTTTCGCAGGAAATCTAGATATTTATCAAGTGCTCACTCTTGCATTCTACCCTCCTCAAATTCACCATAAGGTTTATGTATGATTAATTGAGCGTATTCAGGTAAACTGACAATGTTTGTTTTAATGCTAAATGGAGTCCGCTCTCAACGATAAATAAGATCATTCCATCTGGTTGGTGTGCCATTTAGGGTGGGCCTTAACATATGTTATGAACATCCTACGATCTGGAATAACCTATGTACAGGGATCACTGACAGGCATTAATATGTTTATGATATATGGAATAGATTTTGTAATGTTTTTGAACACAATTGGGTCAGTAACCCTGCTTGTCCTAAAAGGCGAGTAAATGGTTATGGCAAGAATGGCTGCTGGTTTTTATACTGATTTGATGTGTGAGCACACTGTGTATAATTAAAGTGAGTGAGTGAGATTGGTTGATTGCTTTTACGCTGCGTTTAGCAATATCCCAGTAATAGCACGGGGGGACCAGAACTCGGGCCTTCAGCGTGACGAGCGAACGCTTCAACCACAAGGCTATCCCACCGCCCCATTTAAATAAAGAATATCAGCGTAGATTCCGCTAGTCTTTAGTTGTTACAATGGTGTTAAGCCGCCCATTGATAATGCTCATGCTCAACAGTCACGCTTTCATGTCATCCTACCGGGTACCCATTCACTGTTGGGTTAAAACATATTTTGAACAATGTATCTATGAAAACGCCATGTGTAACCTAATAGAGCAGCTGTGATATAGGCTGTGATGTATGTGTGTGTGTTATTTGCGGCAGCTGTTATACTGTCCACGTATGGACTACTCTAGATCACCTGACCCAAATACCACTGGCAGTGCTCAGGACAAGACCACGTTTCACCCACTCCACCTTCAAGTCATTGTTTGCATGTTCTGATAGTTCCAGATAGTTCGCGATGTGACGCATCACCTCTCACCTCACCGTTCACATTGCACATCTTGCACGTGTGTGTTTGATTTGATTCACAGTCAATGAGCCTTGCCTTGTCGGTACATTCACGTGCAGCACGGACAACGCGTGCATCAACATCACGCAGGTCCTAAATGACGTCATGGATTGTGCCGACGGAAGTGACGAAGGTATGTCATCATTTCACTTTAACTGGCACAGACTGAAGAGAAGCCAGAAGGTGACATTACTGTTTTATCATAACCTTTCGGCCCTTTACCTGGATAAAGCGAACTGTCACTCACCATATAAAACCTCGTTAAATCGAACGGAATCAACTCCATATATTCTTTAAGACCTGCCACTTTCATACAGACTGCCAACTCTCTGTTGGTCAGTTTTGTGACAGTTCGGAGGTCGGGTGATAGTACGAAGGTTACAAATACAATCCTATTTGGTATGCAGATTCAACTATCAAAAACAAATAATAGTGAGGGTAAAAACCAGTTATATGTTTATTATATATTTTTTCAGTAATTAAAGTTCAAATTACACCCTTCTAGGAAACGGCTGTCTGCTACTTGTTGTGAAGGTTTCGTCAGTTGTGTTCTTTCTAGGGTGACTTCTGACATGTTCTCTTGAGATATATTACGTTAAGTTGTATACAGGATTCGGGGTGATCAGGTGGTACTCAGGTAGAAACAATAGATGGGATTCAGAGGCGGGGAGGTTGACACTCTCTTTATTGTTCCGCATCAGCACGATGCTCAAATGGTTCCACGTGGCCTGTCCACAACAACCTGCAACTCGATGGTTCCCAGGAGTTCGAGTTAACGAGGTTTCAGTGTATTCAAGAAATAGATGTATTTCAAAACGATACCCGATAATTGTAGCATATAAGAACACAGACGAATTAAACTGTAATTTCGTGATTTATAGTCAGTCACCTTCAGCCTCGCTTTATTCTGTGACACAAGTTGCACATGTAGTGACAATATGCAATGCTATGAAGAACGCATGGTTTAGCTATGATATACACAAAGTTGTTCAAGCACTCGTAATGTCTATTTGAGAATTCTTCCAGTCACTCGTCCATGCACACCGGGAGAATTCACGTGTAAAAACAGACGCTGTATAAAACAGTCATGGGTCCTTGACCTTGAGGATGACTGTCTCGACGGTTCTGATGAAGGTGGGTTAAGGTCAAGGACAACGTAGATATTTCGGATAGTCTGTTGTGATAGGATAACCAATAGTGTGCTGCTGGAAATCTTCAATGTCCTCCACTCTTCATGTTTCACCCCATGTTACACCTAGAGAGCTTTTACGATTGGAAAGAAACAGTAGATTTGATTTTACGCTCAAGCAAGACAGACCAGTCTGTGGCAAACTGAAACAAACGTTTCATCATGTTCCGGCTCAATTTTCGCGAACACCTGGTGTCTTCACTATTATGTGACCGTGCTTTACGAGTGTAGTTCTTGCGAACTGCCCGACAAAGTGCACACATGAAACTTGGATTACAAACGTTATCGAAAAAGTTACTCGGGTTAAAACAGTCACCGAAAGACTGCACATTTGAGGTCCAAAACACAACTCTTATACCAGTATCAAGTGCACCATCATCAGTGAATAACTATTTCCTTATTGTAATATTTTATATCACGGTCAAACATTGGTGTATACTTTCTTTCGACAGTCATTTTTGTTCTTATGTATTGTTTGAGGTTTTTTTCTTGTGTAAAACATGAATAAAAGTAACTTCAATTCATTTTGTTCCATGGTAGAACACTATTCTTTAGATGGACGAAAACATGGGTATGGTCAACACAGGAAGACGTGTAAAACTGTTTTTTGTATAATGATTTTGCGAGGTGAAAAATAAATGAAATACCGTTCAAAGCGGCATTCATAAGTTTGATTCAGAAGAAGTGTATGAGTAAGCAATGATAAACACGGCGGGGACACCAGAAATGGGCTTCACACATTGTACCCATGTAAATCAACCAGTTCTTCGGCCTGACCGCTTTTAGGCTACCCATTTGAACATGTGTTAATATCTGATGGATTTTGATATACTAACCATCATGTAAGATTAGTGTCTAAAAAATACAGGCATACGTATGCAACTAACCAAATATAAAATTATTGCTTTCAAAGGTTATGCTTGTGGCTTTACTGATTAGCAACTTGACTGAAGAAGACATTCTTGTCACGCAGCCAAACGTATCGGGATGTCGTGTCGACCCAACCCTCCATGTTGTGACTGTGACCAGTACGTTGGTTTCTCCGAGTGCCGCCAGGGGTCGTGCCAGTGTCTATCCGGGTACTTCTCCAACAACCTGGGAACACAGTGCACTAGACGTAAGTATACGAGTATTTACATACATTTCTATATAATGACAATATATTCATGTACATGGATATGATAAATGATTCATATTTTCTTTTCTCCTTCCTTAAATGATAATTTTTTAAACTATACAAACAAAAAGTATGGGAACACCCTAGAATTTGATAGTCATATATAAACTTAAACGTGGTGAGGTCATTTATACTCTAAGGTAAATGCAACTTTTTGTGTGCTTAATGGGCACTTTAAACAACATCAAGAACATGCAGTGAAGCAACTGATTCAATATTCTTTGGGTTTGAGTGAAATGAATCATTGTGAAAAACAGCGAAAACAAGCTGAAACAGACCAGCACCATGATTCAAATGTTGCCAGAAGCTGCAGCCGTTGCTACAAGCTGCATGGTAAGTCTGTCTTCCACATGCACTAGGCTGTTGTGTTTGGGCGTTTGTTTAAACTGTTTTACACTAAGGTTCACTGTTAGCCGCGAATAGCTACAATATTGCGTAAACGGCTTAAAGCAACATTCACTCACTCAGGTTCACTGTCATTATGCACACCCTACTGTGTCTCTTCTGACTACCCCACTATAGCAACCTACGTTATTCTAACGTACCCTCTCGCTTTCACCATTATGCTGCAACATACTATCGGGAACTATCCGTACGTCTATATTCTTCAATACACCCTTGTTACCTTTCCTGGATGGGGTCACTGTCATATGTTCACTCCGTAACAACCCATTATATTACGCAGTCGTACACATATTAACATATGTTGTTCAGTCCTCCTAAACATTAAACCGTTCATACTTTAGTTCGCGACAATACTTATTACGTTATAGCCGTTAACTGTCGCGACTGTATAGTGAGTGAGTGAGTTTAGTTTTACGCCGCACTCTGAAATATTCCAGCTGTATGGCGGCGGTCTGTAAATAATTGAGTTTCGACCAGACAACTGAGTGATCCACAGCATGAGCATCGATCTACGCTACTGGGATACGACCACATGTGTCAACCAAGTCAGCGAGCCTGACCACCCGATCCCGTTAGCCGACTCTTACGACAAGCTTGGGTAACTGAAGATCAATTCTAACCCGGACCTTCACGGGTACGCGACTTCATACTAGTGCAATGCACCATAAGATGTTACTCCGTCCTGCGGCTATTCTTACTTATTCGCTTCAGTATGTTACGTTTGTTTAGCTTTGAAGTGTCGCGACTTGATGGTGTCTCATGCACCATAACACGTGACGTGGTTCTGCAGCTATTATTACTTATTCGCTATATGTTACGTCAAACAGCCGTGAAGTATCGCAACGTCACAGCGTTGAATGCACCATGCGGCTTTAAACGATCCGGCAGTTATTCCTACTTTAACCCGATATAACACGACTTCGCAGTATTCAGTGCACGATGGGCTGTTTATCATATCTGTAGCCATTCTCAAATATATTCTATTCCTTCATAGTCTGTGATGCAATTAACTCGTAAAACTGTTCAACATTACTTGCCTTTGCGTGTGTTTGTGCACCTTGTTCTTATCGTATCAGCATTAAACAAATGCTCAAGATTAAACAGGAATCGGGCAATCGGAATTTGTTTTGAATATGGAAAGGGATGTGTCACTTTTGTCATTACGATGAATATTGAAATATTTTTGTCGCTTTTTATTGTTAACATATCTATATATTGCTACGCTACGTAATGCAGAATAAAATAATCATGAATGAGAGAGGGGTTTACCATCGCTTTAAACATTAATCCAAATAGGCTAGTCAGTGGGGCAGGAAAGCCTTAAGTAATATATGCCACAGACTTTTACCATTTTGTCGAAACCCACCACCACGGGTATGGTGCTGACGAATAATCAGGGCCCACTGAGATTCAAATCTACGATCATAGGTCCCGAGGCGTGTGCAAGAGACACAACTCTGCACAGCAAATTAGGCAACGTGGCCATCGTGAATCTACTTAATGCTTCGTGATTCATTCGCAAACTTAGCTATACTACATGTAAACAACGAGACCATTGCATTAACGTTAGATATTCTTTTCGTGATTTCTAAGACTACTTTACGCCATGCCATGTACATTAAAAGCTATCTTGGCGACAATAGTCGTCATGCTGTCGAGTCTTGAAATCGTCATTCTATGATGATGTTACATATCAGAATGCAGCGAATTATTTCTTCTGACAACGAAACCTCATCCCGGTGTGCTCCATGGTGCAGTATAACGATTCCCTACACAACAACACTTTGATGTAAATGTAAACCGTTTGCCAAGTAAATCAACAATTCACAAGATTGTAAACAGAATTTTGAAAGTGCAGTTATCCAATTAGAAACAAATACTCTTAAATACTTACAGTTAGAAACCTTCTTAAAATATAATTATACAATTCAAAACAAGTGTGTTGTTTGCGAAGGACGCAATAAATCTTAATTACGAGGAAAAGAACGCTGACTTGAATGATTAAAGCCCCTGGCAGTGATGCTCAGCTTGCTAGACAAGAGGCAGTAGATGCGTGTAGGGTTATAAGCATCGTGTGTAAAACTCCGGAAACTCTTGACTCCACATATCTACGGAGTCATCTGGCAACACAGGCAGTTATACATAAACCGAAGGCATTGTCAGAACAGTTCCAGAACATGGCGAAAGTGGAAAAAACCCGTAATTTTGTATTGATTGAGCATGCTTGTAGAGGCGTTTAGCAATAGTCAAGCAATATTACGGCGGGGGCATAAAACATGGACTTTGCACACTGTCCCCATGTGGAAAATCGAACCTGGGTCTTCGGTGTGACGAGCGAACGCAGTAACCAATAGAGGCGACTAGCGGGATCGGGTGGTCAGGCTCGCTGACTTCGTTGACACATGTCATCGTAATAACATTGCAAAGACCGATGATCATGATGTCAGTCACTGGATTGTCTGGTCCAGACTCGATTATTTACAGACCGCCGTCATGTTGCTGGATTATTGCTGATTGCGGCGTTACACAACAAACAACATTTCCATCGGTATTGTCAGCTCCCCTGCATCCAAATTGGTAGGTGTTCATTGAAACCATTACAGAGTTTATCAATTAAAACATTACTAGCTGAAAACAGTTGCCTAAACATTGCAAACTTTAGGTGTAAAACACAGCCATGACAAATATATCACCATTGAATAACCATGATTTCTTCTTGTATCTATGTAGCTACCATCAAGCCAGTGTGTACATACTTTAATTTTATCCTAGTAATTATATAAAGCTTATATAACAATGGGTTGAGGGTGTTTTACAAGTTGTAATAAGTTGTTATCATAAAGAAAAACAAAGTGACAGTGTCGTATTCGTTACCAATGTGGTGAAATTTACGAAAACAGCCTACTGCCAAACCTCTTATCATACTTAAGTTAAATCTTAAATTCGAACCCATTATCAGCGGATCCCTATAGCAAAGAATGGCAACTCTCCACACCTAATAGTGGCGATTTAGACGACACGAGCACCTGCAAGCCATTTTGTACATTTACATGACATTCAAACTGAATCGTGCTAACGCATGATAGGACAGAGTAAAATGATACCTGTAATAGGTGTTAATTTGTCAACTAATGCTGGCCTAAATCAAACCCACATTGTCAGTTTGACCAGTCAACAGGGGCCTATTACATCATCCGGTAGCCGATAATGCTGTGCCGCCTCCGTGGTGTAGTGGTTAGAGCGTCCGCCCGGAGAGTGGAAGGTCGCGGGTTCGATCCCCGAACGCGTCATACCAAAAGACGTTAAAATATGGCCTGGCGCTCGGCAGTAATGGGTACAACAAGGACTGGTCGGCTCGGAGTCAGTATAATGTGTCTGAGTGGGGTATTCATGCTTCACTGCGGCTTGGTATCTCAGTGGGCTAGCACTATAAAACCAGCTTAAGTCTGGGCTAGTACAAGCAGCCCCACATACACATACACACGCATGCACGTCGTCATATGAGCGAAATATTCTCAAGCACGACGTTAAACCCAATTTCACCTCACCTCTTCGACATCGCTGTACTGCGTTCAACATCCCGAGGCAGGGTAGTAAACTGGCCATAAAAGTCGAGTTTCCACCGCTGTGGAGCTTGTCTGGAATTCTGCGCCACCAGCGGTTATCATGAATTATGTTCCTTCTATGTCCATCTTATTGACCAATCATAAGTCACATTTGCTGTCTCATGCATTTGCTAAAACAAAATGACGGCGTACGGAAGACCCTCTGATCGATAAGTAAGATCAATCCTGTAATAAAACGGGTCTTATCAAGTAAAGTTCTTCAGCTCAGACGAGCAAGTGGACCTAAAGCAAGAAAAAACATCAAACAGTATCTGTCGACGCCCAGTTGACGGTGAACGCGCTTTGTGAATCTTGCAATCGACCGAATTCAGCGTTGCACTCGCAATGTTCTCTGCAAATGTCGATTTCAGTACGTGAATCTGATTTGTTAGTCCAGCCAAAATGTATCGCCAAAATTTCAGCCCAGTTCGTCAAGGATGATACTGGACTTCATAGTTATCTCCCTATTTTGGGAAGATGTACGATGTTTACTTTTATGCTTTTCCAGACACCTTCTCGTCTTCCCGTTGCACAGTTCTTCCCTGTTCTTGAGAACAGGTTGTCTTTATCTTCCATTTATACATCAGCCACGAAGTCATCTTGCCTTTATCACTCAAATGGATTTTGCATATTTGCCAACTTTATAGTGTTCTTGATAACAACGAGTAAGCTGTATGTCTTGAGGTACAAGTGCGTATTTGCCTGATAAGAAAACTGTCTATCTTGAGAAATGAAGGATGTTTCGTTGTTACATTTACTTCCATGGCTTTCTTTGATAAATAATTTGCCTCTTCAAAACATGAACCAGATCGCATTGCCTTGTTGCCAGTAGGGCGTACGACCACTTAACATTACTGGGTGGCTCGCAAGAAGTATTACATACGGTCATTAAGGCAAGCATTACATGACAATACCAGTATTTAGTGTCTG